ATACTCGCGGCAGCTGCATGATTAGGTACACCGTCGCAACGCAATGTCGTAGTTCTAATCGTGATCCTTAATTTCCAAAGTGACTTCTTATTTAATGAGATGTTAGGCTTATATTGTTTAAAATCATAATCGTCATTGAGTTCAGACTTAACCAAGAGAAAATGTTCGAAACTGATGATTATTATTCAGACGAAATACAGCCCAGATCCAAGTTGAATAAAGCACATATATAAATCGATGATAACCATTATGATTTTGACCATTACAAGCCTAGCACCACGATAAATTAAACATTGCTATGGCAAATAAGGATCAAGCTTAAAACTACGGCATTGCATTGCAACGGATTATATCTGATTGTGCAGCTGCCACGAGTATTCTATAATATATTGGGTTGTTAACAAACAAGTATTAAAATAAATTTTGAAAAATCGACTTTAAAATCGTGCAAATGCCATCACCATATCTTGACCAAATTTATATGGGACTACTGCTGAGGTACCCCCTTACTAGTTAAAAAGAATCATAGAAATCGGAGAAGCTGGTAAAGAATTATCGCTAAACATACATAAAAAATGAAGCGTTTAAGGATTTTCTCATGGACTTAATTATTAAATTTTATATGGGACCACTCCTGAGGTACCTCCTTACTAGCAAAAAAGAATTATAGAATTCAGACAAGCTGGTAAAAAATTATCGCTAAACTTACATAAAAAATGAAGAGTTTGAGGATTTTCTCATGGACCCAATTATTAGATTTTCAGTAAATTTATACACCGTGTTAAAGATTTAACGCTGAAAATAAAATATACCGACGAATTAAGAACCTCCTCCTTTTTTGAAGTCGGTTAAAAAATATACTTCCAAAGTGGTCGGTCGGTATAAAATAAGAAAAGAAAGGAGTCGTAATAGAGTTATTTAGAGGCAAGAAGTAAGCAGGATTCAAATAATGTACAAGCTATGTATTTGGATGGTAGAAAAGACAATAATTATCAAAAAAAAAGAGTATTCTATCATTCAAAATCCTTACCGTCATCTGTTTCAATATTTAGATAGGGTAACAACTGGTCCAAGATCATTTAAGGCCAATTGGGAAGAATTACGAAAAAATTATAAATTTGTAAATCTTGCAAATATTTAAACATTTTGCGCAATTGGACAATATGCATTAAAATTAGTGATATTTTTTTGCAGGATATTCAATAGTAATACTGACGTTTTAACGTGATAGCGCTAAAAAATACAAATCGCTAAATAAAAAGTAAAATACTAAAAATATGTAAAATTCATAATTTTCTTAAAATTTTCGGTGCTTCGCGCGAACAGAAAGTTGTGTTCGATTTTAATAATTTTTGTTTTGTTATGCTGGTATACACCTAAGGCAACTTTTTCGAAGTATAGCGAATCCGAAATATTAATTTGATATTTTTTGCACCACTCTAATACCTTCTTTTTATTAGTATTAATATTATTTATCAAACATTATTCAGCACAAAACAGTGATTGTTATGATTTTTGTTGAAATAGACCTAAATGTTTAATAAACAGTTTAAGACATGACTAACAAAAACAGAGATATGATTCATGTCCGTAATAATTACGCATGGCTCTATATTAAATCCAAATTACCACTTAAAAAGAAGAATTATACGCTCGACATACGTGAATCTTTCCAAGGCCTACTTTAAAAACTTTTGTATATCGCTTTTTTTATACAATTAAGAACTTGAGTTTTCATTATTTTTTTTAGAAAGTATGCGAAAAGACTCTCTGGTTTATCAGCTGAACAAGACATGCACGGAAGATTATACTTATATCTCGACTAGCTCAGATTTTAAACCAATCAAGATTAACATTAAAGCTGGTACCCCCATCGTCTTACCCATTGAAGGATTTCATAATGATTCCAGGTACTTTGCTGATCCTGAAAGGTTCCTACCAGAAAGATTTTTGGATAAACAGGATGATGGTTTCAGAAAGCATACATATTTTCCTTTCGGTGATGGTCCAAGAATGTGTTTGGGTATGTAATAAAAAAATATATGTATGGCTTTATGTTTTGTTTATGCTTTTCAACTTTTTATAATTTTTATTCTAATTATTTTTAATTGTCTTTTAATTTTATTTTATCAGTTAGTTTTTTATTTTTAAATAAAGGAACCATACTTTTATTATCCTGATAATCCTAATGTAGAGATGTTTTACTTTAAACAAATTTCTAATTTTTTTAGGTTTACGGTTTGGAATAACTCAGATCAAAGTTGGCATAGCGCATATAATTAAAAATTATCAACTCTCTGTAAATTCTAGAACTCAACTTCCTTTGAAATTCGATCCCTACTACATCATGGCCGATCCAATCGGAGGGCTGTGGGCAGATTTTCATAAAATTAATTAAGAAGAGTTGTTATTTTTTATAAATAGTATTAGTTTTATGTTCTAAGCTTACATGTATGTATAAATTGTTTTTATTAAAAAATAAATTTAAATTTAAAGTGTGTGTACCTTGATTTTTTTACAAAATAATTTGTGTAACTTAAGACGAAAAATAAATTTCCAAAACCTTAAAATGTCAAGAGACAGGAAGACGATTTACCTATTAAAAGTAAAGAACATGAAAAAATTTAATATTCTTCCGTTACCAGTTGATCTAATGAAATTAAATTTTCTGGTTGGTGAATATCCAAATCATTTTTAGTTAGCAATTATACATATTATTACCAAAAGGCCCCACAGAAAAACTTGTGATATAAAAGAAATGATGTTATTTTTAATGAAAGACCAAAAAAAAACAATAAGAAATAAGTATTGAGACGTTGAATTTTCAAGTTTGTTAAGCATTAGCAATATTAAGGCTAAACCACATAAAAGTTCTTCACATTGATAACCCTTGTTTTTAAGAATCATTCCACGTAACCTTTTAATCAGGGTTTTGAAATTGTTTGAACTTCAATTTCTTTATAAACATTTGGACCCTATACCTCTTAAGCCTGTCCATGCTTAAATATATTGGCCCTCTACCCTTTAAAATGCCAATGTAAAAGACTTGATCTCTTTTTTCTTTAAGCACATTTAAAAATAGTTGAAACCTTAATATCTTATTCATGCACATATAAAAATGGGCGGCCATGAATTCGGCACGAACATATCTTAGAATCATTTATTGTTTCTTATCGAGTTCCAATTACACCATAGAGGTAGTATATTGAAGGAGATGCTATGTTCATGTAAACATGTATTCTAAAAATGACATCGGTGGGCGGGATTAAGTGGACGTAAGAGAAGCATCAACAGGGCCGACAAGAGTGGGGTAGCCGGGACTACTTCCCGGGGCCCAGCAGTGGCATAAGGGGGGCCCGGCACCTCTGGTGTGAAGACCTTTTTTTTTAGAGATTTTACGAAAAAGGACGAGCAGTTTTTGCTTAAAGACTTTTTTTAAAGATTTCACTAAAGAGGAAGAGAAGTTTTTTACGTGAAGACCTTTTAGAAATGTGATATTGAGAGGGCCTAATTTTTTTTATAAAATTGTCGCGGGGCCCGACCTGAAAAATTGTCCCTGGGCCCGACCTGGCTCTCGGCGGTCCTGAGAATCAATATGGTGGCCGTACCAGGTCCAGACTAATGTTTTTTTTTCAATCTGCATAGAATCTTCTAATAACTAAACTAAATTTTTTTCTGATTTGAGTCCAAAGCAGATGTAAATAATTAGTATAATATAATTTTCAGCTGTATATTTAGAATTAGTGAATTTTGTTTTAGAATTATAAAAAATCAACTTTTGGGAAACATCTTTTTAAACAAAAACAATTTAACTATTTAAACAAAAACTATTTATTTATAAAGAACTATTTAATCAGAAAAACAAACAAATATTTTCATTAAAATCCAGTATTTTTGGATAAAAAGTGTTACTGAAAAAAAGAAATCCCTAAATCTAAAAGTAATTTCACAAAATAAACCCATATTGGACACTAATCTTAAAATTACTTGCACAAATATAAAACAAACGCCATCTGTAGTACAATCAATAAAAAATAAATTTTAAATAAACTGGATATAGATAATACGTTTTTTTATTATATCGTCTCAACGGCGAAACACTACTAGACTAATCCATTCATTCATAATTAAGCCCTTTTTTATTCAATCATTCAGATTGTATTTATTATTACGCAAACGGAGCTGTCGCATCGGCTGCTGCATTTAAGTGGTGAGAGTATATTTATTCGAGGAGCAAGCATGCGTTAAATGAATAAATTAGTATTTAAGTCTACTAAAATTCAAAATAAACTTGATGTTGTTGACCTCCACGCTATCTCGTAACTCCAGGGAGACGGTCAGGGCAATCTATGACCTCCTTCTTCAAGAAGGTCTAAGAGTGGTGAAAGCCGAAATACCAGACAAATGCAATGCTTTGGAAGTACTCAAACACTATCCAAAGCACAATTAACAGTGCCTTTAAGAAATCCAATCCCCTGAGGGTGGCCCAACACAACACGATCAGACGACTACCGCATGGTAGTGTCACGAGTTAAATCACCTCTAAAAGATGGCTAGGAAATACTTTAATGAGGCAATAACCACAAAACTCAAAGAGGACTAGGATACTTACAAATATCACCTAAGAAAATAGAAAAAAATATTTTGACAAAAACAGAGAGATGCATGGAGCTTCTATTGCGAAGAAATCGAAGATTTCTCGCGGGTAGCGAAGCTTCAAAAAGCTCCCGCAAAATCACACCGCAACATTGGCACGCTTATCATAGAGGATTGCATGAAAACTGCCAACCTCGAAAATAGTATCAAATTTCTGGTGTCAACAGACTTCCATGACTCGGACATCGCAGACGTGGCTGACTGGACAGAGAAAGAATATAACCATCTGTCTATGATTTGCAAATTGCTTAACACATTGTAGACGATGTCAAAATTAAATAGGCAACACCAAGCTTCTCTCCATTTAAATCTTCAGAACCTAACGGTATCAAGCCAGCACTAGTTTAGTGGGGTCTGAAAGAACTCGCACCACAAAGCAGGTATATTCAGATCCTTGTTAGCTCTGAGGCAAAATCCCCAAAAAATTGAAAGAAGAAAAAAAGTGGTATTTATACCCAAAACCTGGAAAGATGGATTACACTATCCCAAAAATATACTGGCTCATTAGTCTGACATTGTTTTTCTTGCAGGTGTTGAAAAAGCTATGCGAAAAGTACATACGGTAATTACAACACCATTACACCAAAATCAACTTTGAGTGCTTTTGATAAAACTACTTTTCCCATGTTAAATACATTCACTAACCAATAGGAATGTTCCACAGGTGGTTAGTGGGTGGATACTTAACATGCTCTCATAGTGAGCAGTAAACATAAGTCTAGAAGATGTGAATATAAGAGGATTAATTGCATGGGATATCTACAGCAAGGGGTGCTATCACCACTACTGTGGAACATGGTCCTTGACAACCTCATCAGCCGCCTTAATAATGAGTCAATATAGCGTATGCAGATAACCTGGTACATTCTGAAAACAGGAAATTTTGAGAACATACTTAGAAAAAGAATGCAAGTAGCTCTCAAATTATAGAACAATGGTGGAGACACCATTCACTGTCATTCAATCTCAAGACGACATACATGGCCCTTTTCACAAGGAAAAGGACAAAAATGGAATTAAAACACAAAATTAACTTTGCAATAGAGGTGAAGTACCTCGGTCTCACCTTTGACAGCAAGTTAACATGGAATTCACACTCGAAAAGCATAGTTAAAAGAGTATACACTGCTTATGATCAATGCCGCAGAAATGTAGGGCGCACCTGGGGACTCTCCCCTAGAGCCGTTGCATAGACTAATACGGCCATCATAAGACCTGTGCTAACATACGACGCAGTTGTCTGGGTACCGAAAAATTGACAGCTATACCCAAACTAGAACAAATTTAGGAATCATGGAAACCACACCGACCACAGACATTCTTAGTCTCACCCTTCTTGATATTTACATAAAGCAGGTTAATCTGATGACAATGACACTTCTGAGCATGGTTGGAAGGGAACCTGATGGAGGATTTGGTAAGGCAAGACGTCACTTTTGACAGAAGGCGCTCTAAATGATCCCACTGCTTTAAGTGAACACTGACTCCATACGCTATATAAAGTTATAACATAACAAATAAAAGAGCCGAAAGTAGATACGATTCATATTTACACCAACTGTTCTAAAAAAAGGGCTTAGAATGTGAAATATAATTTAGATCTTTAAACCTACACATAAAATGGGACGTGAGCAATAATAGTGGCAGTGTAGTCAGAGCTCAAAAGGATTCTCATAGCAGCAGAAGAAATCACTAGAAACAATATCACTGGAAGGAACATGCTTATCTAACAGATAAGCACTACTCACCCTGAACAGACTCGAATTTACTTAGAGTTAGTACTAGAATGTCATAAAGCTTTGTCCAACAATGTGGGTTACATTAAGATGGATTAAAGGTCACGCCAAATCGAAAGGTAACCAGCTTGATCACTTACTGGCCAAGCAGGCAACCAACCAAATACTTTTATGACCCTGGCTCTTCTGTTGGCCGGACAAAATTGATAGCGCAAGACCTAATTAAAGAATATTCCCTTGTCAAATTCAAGAAAAGATGTGATTAAACAAGAAACTACAAAGTTGTCAGGGAGCTCTTAAGGTATCCCGACAACACTACAGCAAACAAATATTTGATTATGACCAGACATAATTTGACTAGACCAGGCATTATGACTGGTCACTGCCAAGTAGGGAAGCATCATCATATCATGGGGCTGTCAGAATTCGTACTCTACATATCCTCTACGATTGCTTGAAGCTTCCACTTATTATAAGATGTGTGTTTGGCGAGTTTCGGCTTACACCAGCCGATATAAAAGAAGCACCTCTTGGCTACGTTGTCAACTACATTTAATCTGTAGGCTGGCTCATGAGCTAGGAGGTATCTACCAACTTAGTAGGAAGTACACTGGATCTAGTGAGGCCTAAGTACCGTTTGGTAATCCACACGTAACATATACAGAAACAACCAGTTGCATATTGTTTAACATTATGAAATTGGTTTCGAAAAATTCATGATATCACCAGTTGCGAAAAGAAAAGGAATAAAAATAAACCATGTTTGGTTTTAAAATCAATAGGAAGGTTGACTTATAAAAATAGAGTTTGGTTAGACTTACAATCTAGTAATAATGTTTTTGCGGTCCTTATTTTCCTGTCCAAATCATCACAAAATAATTCAAACTCAATACATGACAAAATACCCCACTTTTTAAAAATATAAATAACTTTAATAAGCAATATAAACACACTGCAAGTGGTTGAGAATAAATATTTATTAATGATGTTCCATTTGTCAATATGCAATTAACAATACAGGAAAGTAACATTGGTTGCCTAGATACCAGTAATGTTTTACGAAAACACAATTTTAGTAATAATCTACTCAAAATTAAAAAATAAAGTA